TTTCCCCTTGAAACCTTGGTTAAAGAGTGTATACAACAACCCATCTATCCAGACAGAATCGTAACATTTTTTAATGTCCAATGATGCTATATATGTATCACTACCCCTGTCCGCATTATGCGCGACAGTCTCCCGCACGACCATCGATGTGTGGATACAAGAAGTACCATCTATTGCTGCCCCTTGCAGACAATGTATCGGTTCAATGTTATTATCGGCCTTAACTCGTGCTATGTATAAATTTTCAAATAGTTTGCTAAATATGGTCATTAACGTGATACCCCTATGGTTATCTTTTTCTAAAATATCTTTGTTCCCTCCTTTGAATAACGTTATTAAGACCCCTATTTTAAAAGAATCCGGAAAGAACTCATTTTCGATTATAGCATTGAATAGATACGTTAAGACCGAGATTAACCTTGTACCACCGTACCTTATATGCTCTGGGGTGACAAGATCGTGCCCCGGTGCTTTATTTAATCTCAATCTATCTATAGCAGCGATAACTTCGACTTCCGAAAACGGTTCCTGTAAATTATCGTCAGTTTGGGTGCGCGTTAATTGATCAATTCTATGAATTGCGCCTTCGACCTCTTGCTTAAAGCCGTTATCAAAAACAGGATTATTTGCAGGTGTATAAAGTTTTTGAAAGTACGCTTTCCACTCGTTACAAATATCTACTTCCGTGTCTAAAATACTACCATTGTCACCCCTCAATTGTAACACATTTTTCCCATTCCCCTTTCGTTTAGTTTTAACTAACCGCCAGAAGTCATTAATATTAATATTGCCCGATACGTCTAGCTCTCTCTGTGTTTCCATTGCATGTTCGTATTGTTTATTCCTGAGCAGTTTTCTAAACTCGCGTTTCGTGTTTTTATAAATAGCATAGTTTCGACCCGTTCTCGGTTTTCCACTTTCCCGCCAAGTATGATATGCAATCATTTTCTGTTTATACATAACTTTCAATTCCGGGCACCAATATGGTTTAATGTGTTTACGAAATTTCCCTTTGGGTAGATTGTTTTGCGAAGTATCTTTTAAGAGCTTAGCAAGCTGATTGAAGTAATTGCTAATTTGTTTGTTTGATAACGAGGGGGTCCTACTCAACTCATTTTCTATATCTATAAGTTTACTTGAAACCACATCAGTGAACAAGGATTTAATTTGACTTTCACTGATCTTATTCCATTTTACATTAACTGCCCTCAATGCCTCAAGGTTACCCTTACAAAACACTGAATTTGTCGCCGCAATAGTCAAAGTTAACGTTAAGGGGAGGTGATCAGATGTGTTCAGTAGGGTCTCCTCGTGTACTTCACATGTAACACAGCATCTTATAAGAGGTGCTGTAACTAATATATGATCAATATACGTATTTATGTTGGGTTCTTTATAAAACGTGTACTTGGGTCCATTACGACAATCTGACATATCAGCACATATCAACCCATTCCTTAGCATAAAATTATACAAGAGTCTACCATTTTTTGAGTGGTCCCCTTGACCCATGTCGGTCACCAAATTCCCAAGATTAGCATTCATGTCCCCTACAATGATGACCTCACCGATACCCCTGACTTGTTGCAGGCATTCGTCAAGTGTATCTAACACAACATCAAAACTGTCCCTTACACAAGTAGGTTGAGGTAAGTACACTGACAGAATATGCATAAAACAATCATTCCATCTAACTTTAAGTCCTACTATTCTGTCCGATTCGAAATACACTGGCATTGCATTGATGTTCTTTCTATAGAGGATCCCAACCCCGCCATGCCCTATATGAGAACCCTTATTCAATGGCTCTAAACTGCTACTACTGACTCCTATACCAAAGAAATCCTCATGTAATTCACTCAATGTTCCAATTTCATTGGGATATAACCAATGTTCTGATATACAAATAATATCGGATGAATTACACAGTTCACGTACATAATGTCTTTTTGTACTAAGACAATTCACGTTATAACCCGTGATGGATAGCAATGTCATAATAAAATGTATATAAAACATATTTACAAGCATGTTTCTTGCATAAGCTACAGGCAGAAGTCGTTTTAGCAATCGTCCCAATCAGACCATCTTTTTGACGTATAGCCTGGCCACATCCTATCATCCTTGTCGGCGTTGTCGGCGTTGTTAACGCTGTCATCGGTACTATAACCGGCGATGTCAACATCTTCACGGCGTTGATCATTATCATTGATTCTGTCGTATGTCCTCTCATAGGATGTTCCGCGCCAAAATCCACCACGCGGCGTTGATCCGTAGTTACGACGTGTACGTGTTGGAGGCTCGCGTGACCACTCCCTGCACGTGACGTTTTCGGGCCAAAGGGATTCGCTCAGCATCACATCGCGCTGCGTATCGGGTATTGTCATTTTTATGCCGAAAGTATCACTACTGACCCGATTACGGATGATATATGAGTTCATTACACGTACTTTGTTATGCCTAAGATGGTCATTGACGGACGCCATGACTTCAGCGAATGATGATTCAGGAGGGCAAAAGACATTGCCAATGTACATTTGAATCGTTTTAACGGGTTTCATGCCCATAAAAAGTCTGCTCCTGTTAATCCTAGCATTAGCCGTACGTTTAAAATTAAAACATTGCTCCGACTCCGTACTTGTCCTCCGTGTTTGTTCCGTGCGTCTTTTAGATTTCCTACTCTGATGCATAATCCAGTCATTATCTCCCTTTGCAGGCGGGGATTTGATAGCATCCGCGTAAGACGCACTCGAAGAATTTGTACTGCTACTTGCTTCCAAAGGAAGCCGCGAAGTTTTCCCGTTCGGCCATGCCTGTTTTGTGTTGTTATTGTTTACATCCTGGTTAGGCTTACATGAAGGAGTCTCTGATTCGGCGCTCAAGTTTTTACCACTACTCACTTTCGCGCCTTTTTCTGGATCACCTTGATTCGAGGATAGGCCTTGATTTTGACTGCTTGTAACTTGTAAATTGGCTCCATTTTCAGATTCGATAGAGTCTATAGTTATGTAGGAGCAATCAATGACCTTGTTTAGCCTGTCCAGTTCAGCTTCACATGATGCAATTTTATCGGCCCTGGATTTCGAATCCGTCTCCAAATCCTGTACTTTTTTGCATAAATATTCAATCTTAGCGTCCCTGCTCTTCATCTCTTTCTTAAGATCAGTCATTTCAGAATGTAAGAGTTCAAGTTTAGATTGCAAGTCGAGAAACTTTGCATCCATTGGCCTTTGTTTTTGACTATCCAATATATTCTGTGACGTTGTCACATCTGGGACAACGCTTCTGGATGTGACAACATTTCTTGGGAACGTTGTTGAAAGACCTGATACGTAAACGTACATACCGTAGATATCGTCTCCAACTAAATTCAGCTTTGATTTCCCGTCCCGTCGTGTCACCTTTTTCAGCACAGGTTTATTCCCACCTAAATCAGGTCCATATTTTTCAATGCATTCATTCAATAATTTCGTCTCGCACGATTCGAACAATATATCTCTACAGCTTTCCAGTTGATCAGCTTCAAAATCCATCAAGAGTTCGTCAATAACGTCATCTTTAGCCCTATCTTCCACTGTAGTAAGGACTCTTACAATATTTGCATCTATCCTTGCAAAACAAGACAAAGCGTCTCCGTGATCGACCGCGTTCGCCATCTTGGATTGCGTTGAACAGAGGTAATGCTTGTTATTTCGAAAATCCTTTTATGTTATGATGGAGTGGTCATATTGTTTTCTTGAAAATTGCCCCATTTCCAGGCAAGACTACTGTCAATATATGAGTAACATCACGGTCGTTTTTCACAAGCAAAACGGTGATTTTTCAGATCATGTTCATTATAATTCAATCACAACTAGTATCACGATTTGTAACACTTTGGTCTGATAAACTGAACTAAAGACTTTATAACTACGGATAATCAATTTATCTCGGGTTTCCCTACTGCCGTCTGGGCCTGTTTTAACGACCGTGACGTTTTTCACAGAATAAATTGTACACTTACTATAATGGGTATATATAATCGGTAGTAGGTGAGAAGCAAATACACTGCTGTCGTCACACTCTGACTGAATGTTTTCTATGCCAAAAGAACCAAAATGAAAAGATGCGACCATTTATAACTGAGATATGACATGTTTTCACGGGCGTGTTGTCCTGTTACATCAGCAAATTCACGAAATTCACAACTTATTAGCGAATTTTCAAAGTTATTTACAACCGGACTGATCAATAAGTATGCTGACCGAATAAAGATAGAAGCATATTATTTTAAAATACATAAAACAATAAGAAAAAATCATTTTAGTTTTAGCTATTTTCAATTACACGAAAAATACCCATTTTTAGACTAACATTTATTGGTTTTGAATGTGCGGTCACGGAGATTACATGCGGACACCTAATGGATTTGCGGATAGCTTCATGAATACCACGCAACGCAATAAAATGCGGACACGCAATGGGTCCGCAAATACAATACGGACACGCAAGCTTGCGGAGCTTTCATGAATTAGGCCTCTGTGCAACAGCCCCCCTAATTTTGCATGGTGGTATGATGTGGCAATGTATTGCATGTAAATCAATGCATCCTTCGTGCATGAACTCAAACTCAAATTGCAGACTTTAAGAAGAAGACTTTGAAATGCCTATCGAAGTAATTGGGACACTCGACTCCTAAGGTGATCAAGAGCTAGACTAGACTCCCGAGTTACACGTGTCAAAAATGGCCGCCACCGGTTTATCCTAAAAATTGTTCAACATAAATACCTCAGAATATGATGAAAGTAAGTTGGAAATTGAAATAGGTACTAGAAGTAAAGTCTGCAAAGTACATTGCAATATTATATCAAATACTCAAAACAAGAAACAAGAAACCTTTGCTATGTATTTCAAGAAAGGCAGAGAGATTCTTACCCGTTCCCATTTTCCTTTTTGAAACCGAGGCGAAGAGGTCAGTTATCCGGGCACTTGTTTGTCTATTGCAGCGCCACAGCGGATAAGCGGAAAAAAGTTTGCAAGAACAGAACAGAATAACGAAGTACACATCAAAACTCGATTTTAACAACATACGTTTGTCAATTTGACTAATTTACACCCATTATAGTTATTCATTACACAAAAAATATATAACAGTTCCAAAGTGAATGCAGATATGGGGGAACTGTCCCAAAGTTGCAAGCGAATTGTAAGTGATTTTTTATCCTAAAGGCTAAAATTAAAAAAGTCAACAACATTTCATTCACTTAAACCTTGTTAACTGTAAAAAATAGCAAGAACATAACTTCAATATATGAGTGTTACCTGATGAATGGGACCCTCACGTGCCTTCCAAATGGTAGTAAACTAACTTTAGTGTACAGTCCTGGGATATATTAATTGATCAGTCGTTTATTGGCATATTTTCTTGAATTTTAACATTTAATGTTCCAAACTCCCACAAACTGCAGACAAGTATACCCCATAAATCATATTTACCAAAATGAGTGTATCCAAGGCTTCACACCAGCGTATGTATAATGCATTTGTCACGAGTTTGAGCTGAAATTTCGCCAAAATGGAGTAGGCTAAGGGTAGTCTCTGCCAGGTTTGTTTATTGTGGTATGCTTGTAAGTGCTCAGAAGCAAATAATTCATGTGCGCAAAATAATCAAATAATCTGATTGGTCTAAAATTTGCTGCACATGCGCACAATGTGTGCCATGTTTTTTCTAGTGATTTCGTTTCGTTTCATGGAGTTTGCGTTTCAGTGTAACTTCCGCAAAAATGGCGGACCATGGACAGAATTAACAGGTAAAATCACTCCGAAATTTCAAGAGAACTTTTTACCTATAATAGCAAAACTTTTGTTTTATTTGTGCATTCTATCTATCACATAAGAGTCTCAGGGGTATGTAGGCAAATTCATTTTGATAGGAGCACTCTGTTTAGTTTGAAAACGCACCCTTAATTATTATATATCAGCACTTTAACTACATCAGTTTATCGTTCCGTCCGATCAACAATAAGTACAGTTGTATACAAGAAATGTAAACGAAGGCCGTTGATGGTCTATTACCGGCGGCTCTTGCAGTTAATCTGATCCACTGACGAAGAAAAATCAAAAAAATCGAAGACTTAAACACCTCAAATCTGCCCATATTCAAGGTCTTCTTGACACGCGCATGGTATAAAGGAAACAGAATGTTGGATAGAACGATAGATAGATGTCATTTCACGATACTGTATACATTTCTCTGTTTATAACAGATACATACATATGCTGTAATCATTTTTCTATCAGTTTTAGTGTAAAATATCAACAAAATATACATTATACACTTACTTTTCTAACTTTATTTGGAGGGGGTCAAAATTTGTCAGACGAATTTCACTTCTTGCGCAAAAGCATTTATGACAATGGCGGAAGTTAACAATTCTTAAAAAATGAAGAGATATTTCTAAATATATGAATAAATCATGAAGATTGGGAGTAATGGTGTTGAACTGTTTTTCATAACACTGGTTTAAAAGATGGTGGGTGCATATTTTAGCTATTTAGGACAATCGTGCGATAATTAGGACCGTGCGATAATTAGGACCACTTCCCCTACAGAGGATTGAAAAAGAGCCAAGTGTTGACAGACAGAGGTTTTAAACTTGCAACTATTTTGGACTGACTGAGAGACAGATGGACAAATCAATGTTAACTAAAATGGCTGAAAATAAAAAAAAAACGGATATAATATTTAGCCGATTTTTTGTAACAAAAGTATTTCATACAACTACTCTTTACAGTGACATGGCTTTTTACAATGCAGGACAGCTGAAATTATTTGTAAAGCTAGGAAATGGGCCAAAAGTGAATTTCGCGAGACGAGAATGGCGACCATTTTGAAAATAGGCGAGCTTTTGAACCAAGAGTCATAGGAGAGTTTTTTGTATTGATGTTGAACAAAATTAACTTAAAACAGGAATCCTATCGACAGAGGGTTTAAGGCAAATGGTCCAAAAGTGGATTTTGCGAGACAGATGGACAAATCAATGTTAACTAAAATGGCTGAAAATAAAAAAAATGGATGTAATTTTTAACGGATTTTTCGTAACAAAATTATTTCATACATCTACTCTTTACATTGACATGGATTTTTACAATGTAGGACACTTGAAATTATTTGTAAACCTAGGAAATAGGTCAAAAGTGAATTTCGCGATACAAAAATGGCAGCCATTTTGAAAATAGGCGAGCTTTTGAACCAGGAGTCATAGGGGAGTTTTCTGTATTGATGTTGAACAGAAATAACTTAAAACAGGAATCCTAACGACAGAGGTTTTAAAACGTGCCACTGTTGTTGACGGAAAAGTGGATTTCGCGAGTCAGATGGACAAATCAATGTTAACTAAAATGGCTGAAAATAAAAAAATGGATATAATTTTTCGCTGATTTTTTGTAACAAAATTATTTCATATATCTACTCTTTACATTGACATGGATTTTTACAATGTAGGACACCTGAAATTATTTGTAAGGCTAGGAAATGGGTCAAAAGTGAATTTTGCGAGACAAAAATGGTGGCCATTTTGAAAATAGGCGAGCTTTTGAACCAGGAGTCATAGGGGAGTTTTCTGTATTGATGTTGAACAGAAATAACTTAAAACAGGAATCCTATCGACAGAGGTTTTAAAACGTGCCACTATTGTTAACGGACGGACAGACAGACGGATGGATGGACGGACGGACAGACAGACAGACGGACAAGTGAGCGATTGCAAAAGCTCACCATGTGAGCTAATAACCGGGAAATCATTAAAAGGTACGTGAGCATTTTTTCTGTCGATGTCGGGAGAAGATTCCCGGGGATTTAAGATGCCAGTGATTGTGAATATCGGCAGAAATTAAGTACGTTCGGGGGTTTTCTTTGTAGCTAATGAAAATAGATGTTAGCCTTGATGAAATATTCAAAATTCAATATATTTTGACACCAGGACCATGATCGTTGGATACGTCTTTGCACTATTTATTCAACCTTTAATTGCTCACTGGACATGGGTTAGTTGTGGTGAAGAAATTTCTGTCTCATCAGGTGCTTATCAATTCCATTCTTGAATTGATTTATATCTGTGGTGTCTATTACAGATTGGGGAAGATTGTTCCATGTGTTGATGATTCTATTTCCAAATACATTTTTCCTTACATCGAGTCTGCTATATGTATGGCTTAATTTTTCTGTATTCCCTCTCGTCATCTTATACATCTATCCCGTGCCAGGACTAAGTACTACTTAAAGTAGGATGGGGGATTTATATGTCTTTACGGCGGAACAAATTCACAAGAACTCATGCATTTGAAAAAAACTAAACTCAGTACCCCAGTAAGAAATTGGATATTATATCTCTGGAGAATGAAAAATGGGAAAATTTGGAGTCATAATATAAGAATAAATTCAGGTAAAATCAAATCATTTATTCTAGTGAGCAGTTCTGATGGTTAAAATAACGAAATGATGTAATGTTGCCACGTTTCTACTTACCAGTTTGTTCTATACAATCCATCCTGCTAGGTTACATTGTGGAACACAGCCAAACACAACGATGAAGGCAACAACATATCGATCTTAGCAGAATTTTTGGAAATTTAGATCGTCCATTTTGCAAGCTCACGTGACTGATCATGTGACACGTGTCTGATCACCCGACACTTGTCTGATCACGTGACTAGTTACTGTATCGATCATGTGACTTAATGACGTATCACCCAACCATGTCTTCAAGGAAAATGGTAGTAAATATTTTGGAAAATGTTTTGCGAGCATTTGCTACTGATTATAGAAGGCCCAATTATCCAACGAATGAAACTGCTAAATTGTATTTTTAGTCTGCTTAATGATCTATTGATTCATAAAGACCCGAAATGATGCATTCAATAAGACTACCTCCTAATGAAAATACTACATATAAAGTGGTGAAAAACAACGAACTAAAATTGAAAGGTCGCAACGTTCGCTACTTTGTTCAATTCCGGAAATCTCCAAGGGGCTGCAAATGGGAAATTTTTTAGATTAAGCTTTTATAACCTCAGAATACTGCCTTCAGTGTCGTGTTTTGCTGAGTTCCCCAATCACTGGTGATCCACTTGATTACACTGGTTACCAAAACGAACCGTTTTGGTGACAAAATGTCGGAACATCCGGAAGGTACGATTTTTCTCGTTTCCTTATTTTACACTTGTAGGCAGAATTCCCATGACATTTTTTGACACAAACGTGTATCAGTATCATATGTTTAAGAAAGTGTACATATTTGCGAACAAATAGTTCAGAAGACATCAGAATCGTCGATTTACTTCCTCACTTAAGTTACATAAACGGTTTGGGTTAAAAGTGCAGATCTTAACTGTTTTTCGAAAAACCGTTTATGTAACTTAAGTGAGGAAGTAAATCGACGATTCTGTTGTCCTCTGAGCTATTTTATCGCAAACATGTACATTTTCTAAAACATATGATACTGATGCACGTTGTGAGAAAAAAGTCGTGGGGATTCTGCCTACAACGCGTGAAATAAGGAAAAAAGAAAAATCGTGCCTTCGACGTTCCGACATTTTGTTACCAAAACGGTTTGTTTTGGTAACCAGCGTAATCGAGTGGATCACCAGTGCCAATGTAACCTAGCTGGATGGATGACATAGAACAAACTGGTAAGTAGACACATGGTAACATTACATCATTTCGTTATTTTAACCATCTGAACTGCTCACTAGAATAAATGATTTGATTATAGCATGTCTTATCATGTCTTATATACACATTATCGCCCTCCATCCTATCCCCCCTCCGTCCAATATATATGGAGACCCTATCTGTTGCAAGACTGGCACAACCGTCAACATGTTATTTAATGTTTTTATTAAGTTTCGCAAGGATCCTGCCATGACCGTTGTAGTGTTATCGTGAAAGCCTGGTATAACTGTGACAACGCTATATTATATTGCAAGGCCTGTCATGACCATGGTAATGTTAAAGCCTGATATGACCGTGACAATGGTTGCAAGGCCTGACATAACCGTGGTAATGATAAAGCCTGATATGACCGTGACAATGGTTACATTGCCTGTCATGACTGTTGTAAAGTTAAAGCACAACATGACCTTGACAATGGTTATATTAAATGATATTTAGTAGCATGAGAATACTGTAATGAAAAATTTCATCGTAAAATCTAAACTACTACTACTACTACTTACTCATAATTCATTTCCACAAACTATATTTCTTATTTCATTCAAGAATGTGAACATTGTCAAGGTCATATCAGGCTTTAACATTACCACGGTAATTACAGGCCTTGCAATATAATATAGCATTGTCACGGTCATATCAGGCTTACAGTCATGACAGGCCTTGCAATATGGTGTAACATTGTCACGGTTATACCAGGCTTTCAAGATAACACTACCACGGTCATGGCAGGATCCTTGCGAAACTTAAAAACACTAAAATAACATGGTGATGGTTGTGCCAGGCATAAGTCTTGCAATAGATAGCATGTGTGGTATATGAGGTCCCCTCATTTTCTATGATACTGGAGTGATGGAATCCTCAGTGCATACGTTGTTCGTAGCTCAGGTTTTTATTTAAACTAGGAACAAGTTTGGTTACTATCCTTTGTACTTTCTCTACCATATCCTGATCAAGGGCATATCCTGGTCCCCATGCGCTATTGGCATACTCTAGATGTGGCCTTACAAGTGATTTATACAATAGGGGAAGTGTTGTTTTATCTTTATTTTTAAATGTTCTTTTATTAGCTCACCATAGCTCACATGGTGAGCTATTGCAATCACTCACTTGTCCGTCTGTCTGTCTGTCCGTCTGTCAACAATTGGCCCCTTTTAAAACCATTGTAAATAGGATTCCCGTTTTTAAGCTATTTTTGTTCAACATCAATATAGAAAACCCCCCTATGACTCCTGGTTCAAAAGCTCGCCCATTTTCAAAATGGCCGCCATTTTTGTCTCACTAAGTTCACTTTTGGACCATTTGCTTAAAATCTCTGTCGATAGGATTCCCGTTTTAAGTTATTTTTGTTCAACATCAATACAGAAAACTTTCCTATGACTCCTGGTTCAAAAGCTCGCCTATTTTCAATATGGTCGCCATTTTGGTCTCGAGAAATTCACTTTGTAAAAAACCATGTCATTGTAAAGAGTAGTTGTTTAAAATAATTTTGTTACAAAAATTGGGCAAAAAATTATATCTGTTTTTTTATTTTCAGCCATTTTAGTTAACATTGATATCTCCATCTGTCTCGCGAAATCCACTTTTGGACTATTTGGCTTAAAACCTCTGTTGATAGGATTCCTGTTTTAAGTTATTTTTGTTCAACATCAATACAGAAAACTCCCCTCTGACTCCTGGTTCAAAATAATTTCAGATTTCCTGCATTGTAAAAAGCCATGTCCCTGTAAAGAGTAGTTGTATAACATAATTTTGTTACAAAATATTGGCAAAAAAAATATATCTGTTTTTTTCATTTTCAGCCATTTTAGTTAACATTGATTTCTCCATCTGTCTCGCGAAATCAACTTTTGTACTATTTGCCTTAAAACCTCTGTCGATAGAATTCCTGTTTTAACTTATTTTTGTTCAACAACAATAAAGAAAACTCCCCTATGACTCCTGGTTCAAAAGCTTGCCTATTTTCAAAATGGTCACCATTTTTGTCTTGCGAAAATTCTGACCAATTTCAGAGCATTGATCCAATTCGTGGGTTGGAGTTCACCATATGCAATTGCATTATTGATAATCCATAACCATCTATTTTGATCCAGTTAACATTCTTCTAGACCCACTAGTGAGCAGGCTGTCTATCTTCTGTATTTGTCACGCATTTGCTGAAGATATTGATGTCTCACTTTTTAAATACGCATTTTCTTCTGATTATTGTCAAGCAAAAATATTTCAGGAGAACATCAAAAAATGAATGCCAAAAAAACCTTCAGAATTTTTATGCGAACTGCTTATACACCCTATGCAGACAGAGCCTGTGGAGAATATTGGGTGCGGAGCAAATGAGCGGAGGGTGCGGAGCTAACGGTTATTTTTGAATTTAAATTTGGGATATTTCTGAAACTAAGCCGTTTTGGGACTTCAAATATACCAAGATATGTGTATTTGACACCAAATATCAATACAATTGTGAAAATAGTAGCGCAATTCATTCTATAGCGACGCAGTGTGCCTTAAACCTTTCCCAGACCTATATATTTTGAAATTATCCTTTTAATACTGAGTCCCCAGCATTCATAAAAAATGGTGTTCAAGGTGCACTATCTATACAAATTAGCTCCATAAACGTAGCTCCGCACCCAATATTTAGAGGGGGCTCATATCTGAAGAACATTTCCGAATTTTTATAAAATCACACAGATACTGCCTGGCTTCCAAGATGCAAAAATAATTTGCATGGGTAGTGTATCTTGAACACCATTTTTTATGAATGCTGGGGACGCAGTATTAAAAGGATCAGTCTCAAAATATATAGGTCTGGGAAATGTTTAAGGCACACTGCGTCGCTATAAAATGAATTGCACTACTATTTTCACAATTTTATTGATATTTGGTGTCAAATACACATATCTTGGTATATATGAAGTCATAAAACGGCTTAGTTTCAGAAATATCCCAATTTTAAATTCAAAAATGACCGTTAGCTCCGCACCCTCCGCTCATTTGCGCCGCACCCAATATTTCCCACAGGCTCTGTCTGCATAGGGTGTTATATGTCACGCATTTGCTTTGAATTTTCTTGTAATATGCTTGACCATTTGTCTTTTGTTTGAGAATGGGACCATGCAATGGCTTCCCAATTATTTTTAGATAACATTACAAAACCACAGGAGGCTTTTTATCAAATATATGTAAAAGTAAATGAAGTGTAGCTGTATTTATTTTCTTATTTCAGTCACTACGTATTCAACTTTTATTTGATGATGTGCAGTCATTGACTGATGCTGAACAAGAGCAGATCATGGAGATTATTCGCGTTAGGCTGGATGAGTGGCAGGCTTTGAAAGGGTATGTCATATCATTTAAATGTGCATATATACTATACTGCCGGTAATTTTCGCATGCTACTATATTTCACTCTTTTCGCAAGTTTGGGAAAATTCGCAAAATATAATAACTGCGAAATTTCAATAGTTCAAATTCGCAAATGTAATATTTGCAAAATTTTCACGAAGTAATTCCACTAACAATCTGGTTTCAGGTTAAACTACAGATTCGTGAAAATTAATAGCTGGGAAATTTCGAAGAAAATATTAACAAAAATTAACAGCTGCAAAATTTCAAAATCGCGAAATATATTAGCACAGGTGTCGCGCTTAACTTTTTTTATCATGTAATTGTTTCACTACTTAATGAATTTTCCATGTAGCTATTTCAGAGATGCAGGTAGTGATAATTTTGATGAGAGATATCTTTATTTTCATGACTTAGCAGCGCAATGATAAGATATTACATTGTAAATATATGTATACTTACCCAGATATTACTATGTTTTAAGACAATTTACATACACATTTTATTGATAGTAAGAATGAAGTTGTGATTCAGCTCGAACATGAATTAACAAAGATCAGCTGATCGGCAAATCAATCGAAAATCTGTATATTTTCACATGGAGAGTTGTTAGTTGCGGTACTAGTGAAGTTAGCTAGTTGGAGGAAATGACAAGTAGTGTTCTTGGGAAAACAGGTAGCAAATCACTACCTTAGCAATGCTAATTTCGAGGCCTGTAGCATCAAATATTAGTGGGAGTACAGTATAACATTGTAATTTTGTTGGAATGAATATATGATCATATGTAAATAAAGATACACAAACTTTTATTTACATGTATATCAGGTCATTACCGGATATACGCCCCCCTAAATTTAGGTCCATGGGCCAAAAATCGAATGTAGTACGCTTATACACCCATGTGCCTATAAAAGATGACTATTTATTGATTTTTTCAATAAATTCAAGAGTATTTTGTCACTGGCAGATCGTTCTGTGGTTACTTTGTTTCAACATTAAGTTCAACGCTGTGCCGTAAGTGGCAGTGGTGGATCGTTCTGTTGTTACTTTGTTTCAACATTAAGTCCAAGGTTGTAGGTGACATTTCCTTTATAATTCTTACAAAACATGCGGTAGGACTACAACAGTAGGTACGGTAGTCTCTCTTTTTTCTCACCTTTACGCCCACTGGGCCAAAAATCGAAAGTAGTACACTTACACGCCCATGGGCGAAAAATAAGAGGTAAAATAACAGACGAAATTACCCCTTCTTTCAGTTATACGCCCAGGGCTTATATGCGAGAAAATCCGGTAGTTCTTGTCTTGAGGAGGAAAAGGAAGTTTTTCAGGCTGAAGTCTGGGTTGACCTTTGTATGTAAATAAAATATAATAATAATACATATTATTTTATACAATTCTACCATTTCAGGTTAGACTATCCTACAGAGAAGCTATCAGAACGAGCTGACCCCAATCCTACACCACCCAAAATGGCTAAACTCACAACCAATCTACAAGGGAGGAAAGAAAACCTGCTTTCACAAAAGTAAGCTACTAAAGTGAAATAGGAATACATGCACAAACCCTGATTGATTTGACCAGATTCTTTGTTAGAGCTCAACAACAGAAGTGATACTGCAACATGATTCTTTATAATTTAAAAAGTCTTTATTTATTGATTATCAATTTATAAATTTATATCAACTGAGGAAAAGAAAGATCTAAACCATCTCAAAGTGTATGTCTACATATTATGTACATGTGTGTAATTCATGTCTGCAAAAAAATTATCTTGATGAAAACTATTACCACCCTTTGTAAAGCTTGAGCTATTGAGGTTATTGACCAGAGTAGAAAAATTAGGGTTTAGCACCCAGCTGAGGGATAAACTGATGATATCACTGTTATTATGGTCATATATGAAAGACAGGTTTTGTGCAAATTTGTTCAGTGTTGCAGGTTTAATGTACATTCAATATCAATATTTGTGCTTTCAGACCTACCCCAAGTATCTCGCCAACAAAACCACATACTATAACAACAGTTGCTTCACCCACCAAAGCTCCTCAGACTTTAACATCAGTGACACCAAGAACAGTTGACATGCACAACAATCTTGTGGAAATGGACTCTGAACCAGTTGATCACAACAACCAGATATCTAATGAATTGGACATTAACTCATTTGGTAGGGATACTTCCAACAGTCAAGATACATCTACTTTGATTGATGCAATAAAACAGGAATATGAGGATGATGACAATGATGAAACTGATGATGTTAATTATGATTCTAACTTTACCGATATTAGTATAAAAACTGAAAGTGATATTAACAATAGTATAGATCAAGTTAAAGAAGAACAAATTGAAGATGACGACTGTGTCCCTCCTGAATCACTAAAGAAACCAACAGGAAAATCCAAACGAAAGGTATGTATGTTTTGACTTTGACTTCTACTGAGTCATGGGAAATTAAATCTTTACAGTACTTGGGGACCAATGCAAAAGATCGATGTCAGATAATTAACCTTTAGCATGCTACCGGCTTGCAGAGTCGCCCGTGCTCAACAATCCCCGGCAACTGCTGGCGACTCCGGTAGACTCAGTTTAAACTCATTTTAAACTTTCAAAAACTTTTTTTCCCGCCGTTCTCCATAATCCAATCAGATAGCAATGACCTGACCTTTGTCACGTCACTTACGGTTTGTAAAATGTGAAAAAAAATTCAAAATTACGAAGATTTAAGCAGGGTTTTGTGACTTTTCTAGCAATATAGCATTCTAGAAATGGGTGATGAATTATTGCCGGAATATTTTGCAGACAGTGATTTGGAAGATGAGTTCTTAGGATTCAATAGAGACGATGTTGACTAATTATTGAGCTCCGAAAGTTAACTTGATTTGGATGATGATTTGGATTTGTCAGAATATGAAACAGACAATGATGGCAACAAGAATGACATTCCTAGTGGATATTCTCATAATTGGCTTGGGGAATTTGACGTAAATAGATCGGTAGTAAAAAATGTACCTGCTGATACAACTGAGGTCGATCTATTTGTCTGTTTTTTGATGACAGTGTGTTTGACTTGTTTGTTGAACAAACGAACATATATGCCCAGGAATATATTGACAATCATGCAGCAATGAAACCGAGTGCTAGAGCTAGAACATGGAAGGAAGTGACACTTCCCGAGATGAGGGCATTTGTAGCAATACTGTTGTTATCAGGACTAACAAAGAGATCAAGTTATGCGTTATACTGGTCAACAGAGACCCTCATAGAAATGCCAGGTTTTCGTACAATTATGCCACGAGACAGATTCCTCAACATACTGCAATAATGCCCTCCCATGTGACCACCCACAACATGACAAAGGATTCAAAATAAGGCAGCTGGTTGACATTATCGTGCCTCTTTGGTAGAGATACTTCCACCCCAATATTTAAGGAAGTCTCTCTGGATGAAAGTATGGTTCCCTTCAAGTTCAAAGGATGTACCAATATCATGCAATACATGCCTAATAAACCCAACAAATGGGGTCTGAAAGCTTGGGGTTTAGGTGATGCCAAAACTGGTTACATGTACAATTGGGAGCTGTACTTGGGGAAAGAGCAAGGCAATCCCCGAGATAGAGATGTTCCTCTCACACATAGTGTTGTCATGAGAGTTTCATACCTCAGAGACATATGAGAAACACATTTGTGCCAGACATCGTCGTGACAATCATCGTATTGTTCAAAAGCCATGCGTCGCTCAATCTTATGCTCAGCATATGGGTGGCATTGATAGAACAGACAAGGCAATGACCTTCTACATGGTTTTACAAAGATGTTGCAAATGGTGGAAAAAACTCTTCTTCTACTTACTAGAAGTATGTTTTATTTCAGGGATATCTACGAGAGAGACAACTGGGCTATGGGAGACCCACTGCGAATCCACCTGACCGCCTTGTTGGCGGAGTCCATTACCTGATGCCCAACCCTAAAAGGACCAGTAACAATGCCCGCTCTAAACCAGACTGTGTGGTGTGCAGTGACCGGTCTATGAAACGATGCCAGACAACTTATATGTGTAGACACTGTCAGTTGGCGATGTGTCCATTTCCATGTTTCGAGAGATATCACACAAGGATGGACTTCAAAGTTCAATGTCGCCCTGGCCTCCATAATACATAAATACATAAACATTCAGTGATAACAATTTGATCTATAGTCAAACATTTTAGGAATAAATGTCCCATCCAGACTAATCAATGGAGCTGTTTACTTTCAAGATCGGTTACCTGAGCGTTAATTGCGTTATTTGAATGTTTGGTCATGTGACCCTGGAGATGGAATAAATATTGCATTTTTAAACTCGCCAAGTACTTTTTTCCTAAAAACGCAAAAATAAGTCAGTTGCACGGGATAGCATGGCACTCGAAAATTCAGCATGCTAAAGGTTAACTAAATTTTGATAGTTAGGGGGAAGGGTGTTATTGTCCCAAATAATTAAGCTCTGCTGACATCGATTATTGAATTCCCGGGAATCTTCGCCATGTTCATTTCGTCCAGTGTGGATTCCCCATTCTACATGAAAAAGAAAAAACTTGAATTTTATCAGAAAACATCACATAATACTTGATCAAAGAGTAATATGAAGTCAATTACAGTAATTCTATAACAGAATATGAAAGTCTAGTGAACAATCTATGTAGTGACTTACTTGGAGTGGGTAAGAAAGGTAAAATCGTCTTACAAAGCAACTGAAGTTTTGAAATCAATAAAAACCAAGAACACAAATGTGTACAACATGTCCCCACCAATGGGTGATCCTATATACTGCAAATTTTTCATCCTGAATGCCTAACACAGGGCTTGCATTAACGGCATCCCGTACATGTTAAGGACTCAAAAATAATTTGGAGGACGCAAAAATTGAAAATATTTCCGTTTTTTGGACACAATTTTTTTTAGGTCAACACTACAATAACGATACCTAACAAAAACAAATAATTATGATCTCTCACCTTTATTATCCCAACGAACGAAGTTCTGTAGGGATATAGTGAAGCCCTCCGTCCGTCCGTCCGTCCGTCCGTCCGTCCGTCTGTCAGTCAGTCAGTCAGTCCGTCCGTCTGTCCGGAAGATAACTCTAATACTAGTCAACAGATTTTCTTCATATTTGGTGGAAAGATGTATATTGGTGAATAGTTTTACGCAAAAAAAATTTTTCAAGATTTTAAAAGTAAATGGAAGAATGAGTTTTTTGGAAAAGTCTAAGTGGACCAAATAGTCTGTTAAATGGACCCGTTCTTTGAAATTGATCCATAAAATGTTTATTCTGAAAATGAGTAGACAAGACTTTACAAACTCAATTTTAGGACGAAAAAACCAAAATGGTCATGAGTGAATATGGGAGATATCCATGAGTGGATAAAAATAATAGCAAGAGAAAATCGCAGGATATCCTATTTATCTTATGGTAATTATCCAAATCCTTTGTGTAAATGTCCATCACATTTAATTTTTCACCTTGATTTCCGCGCTGTAATAGCATAACGGTTACCCCATCTCTGAAAACGAGGTTGGACGGCTACGTTCACTGATTTATCAAATAAACTAGCCATGATGGAACAGAAAGCTAAGGTTGGTGCATTATTTTCTACAACTGTGTATCAATAAAAGCATGAAAGATTTCATTCAAAACTACATGTTTAGTAGGCTAAGTTATTTATTATCCCAACGAACGAAGTTCGGTAGGGATATAGTGAAGCCCTCCGTCCGTCCGTCAGTCAGTCCGTCCGTCCGGAAGATAACTCAAATATTAGTTGACGGATTTTCTTCATATTTGGTGCAAAGATGTATTTTCAAGATGGCCGCTGCTTTAAAAATGACGGGACTTTTTCGTAAAAATCATAAATTTTTCATTCTAAACCAAAGTAATTAACATTATTTTTTGAAATTTTGGTAGTATATTCGCAACATCTATATATTTCACATATATTCCATGTTTTTCATCCTGACCCCCAGGGGCCGTGTATGGGGGGGTCAGGAAAACAGAAATTTTCGCTAATTTTTAGATCTTTCTGAAGTATAGCTTTATTATACTCAAATGAAAGGCAATTAAGAGTAGATTGCAAATATTGTATCTTTTTCTGATTCGAGCCTCATAAAATTCAAAATGGCCGTCTAATGTACGATTTCGCAATAATTTTTCGATCCCTTCAAAGTATGGCTATTGTAACAGTTTGGCCTATTTTTGTGGATATACGTGGTAGCGTGGATAATAATAGGCCCACTGTTTAGTAAACGGTGTTTACTTGGTGAGTTACACGGCACACGTTAAATGTGCGATTGTCCCTAAAGAATTTAACAGACATATACAATTAAATATAAAATATAAAACAGTATATTGTGGCGTTTATAAGCCCAAATAAAGATGTACATTAAATTTCAAGTCTAATTATAAGAGTGTTACGATTTTAATATCTCTCTCAAAACTCACAACTCAAAAGTCCATATAAGCTAATATTTATCACTAATAAAACAATATCCAGAGTCCATATAAACTAATAATAATCACTAATAACACAATATCCAGAGTCCATATAAACTAAAGTTGATGATCACTATATACCACTGTTGTATCTCCAATATTAAGTCCATATATGTTGTAACACTTGTAAGTCTTGTATTGTACTTGTAACTTGAACCTGAAATAGTAATCTCCTGGATCCTCTTCAATGTAGTGTAGTATGATTCAAGTTTGATGATATGAAATCATCTAAGTCAACCAGCGGCTCTGCAAATGTCTATCTCCTGGATCCTGTCAACTATTGCTCAGTAAACGGCTATCTCCTGGATCCTCTTCACTGTATTGTAGTATAATTCAGCTTTGATAATGGGAAATCATCAAGTCAACTATCGGCTCGGTAAATGACTATCTCCTGGATCCTCCTCAATGTGTTGTAGTATAATTCAACTTTGATTATGTAAAATAATCTAAGTTAAACTATCAAGTCTGGAAACGACTATCTCCTGGATCCTCCTCAATGTGTTGTAGTATAATTCAACTTTGATTATATGAAATAATCCAAGTCAAATTATCAAGTCTGGAAACGACTATCTCCTGGATCCTCCTCAATGTGTTGTAGTATAATTCAACTTTGATTATGTGAAATAATCCAAGTCAAATTATCAAGTCTGGAAACGACTATCTCCTGGATCCTCCTCTCTGTAGATGTATATTCTAACTTCAATGACCCAAAATCATCAAAGTCAAAATATCTCGTTGAATAAACTGCTAAGTCCTGGAACCTCTTCTATGTAGATGTATATTCCAACTTCAATGACCCAAAGTCATCAAAGTCAAAATATCTCGTTGAATAAACTGCTAAGTCCCAGAACCTCTTCTCTGTAGATGTATATTCTAACTTCAATGACCCA